TGTTCTTAGCAGTTTGTGCTTTTCCCACTAGCCAAATGCAAACTTTCACATTTGGCCAACAAAGGAAGCCTTTTGCAGGACAGAGGGGAGAGAATGGTGAGGACCTTGGCAGGTGAGAGCCCTGTGTGGGCAGCATGGCCTGCCTGGTCCATCTCTAAAATCGGATACACATATGTTCATATTCCAGCTCCATAAATGGTACTTTAAGCTGGGAGGCTGGATGAGATCACAAAGAAATGAGAATAGGTAAAGAGGACCAGAGACGGAGCCTGGGGCCTCCAACATTTACAGTGAGGCGGTGAGGATGAACTAAGCCAGGAGCCTGGGCAGGAGCAGCCCACAACATAGGACGAAACTAAAGAGGATGGCATCTTGGAAATAAATGATGAAAGCATTTCAGGTATGATAGAGAGACTAACAGAGCCAAATGCTGCTGATGTGTCAAGGAAGATGAGAGCTGAAAATCGACTATTATATTTAGTAACACAAGGTCATTGGTAATTTTCACCAAAGCAGTTTCTGTGGAGTGTTTGGGTGTGAAAGCCTAACTGGAGAGGGTTCAAGAGAAAATGGACAGAGGAACAAGTTTAACCACACCATGAGGAAACGATAAGCCAAATCCAGGATGCAGGACATTCTACAGGACAACTGGCCTGGTTTTTCACACAAGTGAGTGGCATGGAAAAAAGGGGCAGAGGGCTTGCTTCAGATTAAAGGAGATTTAGAAGCCATAGCAACCAAATAAAAACTGTGGCCCTTATTTGGATGCTGATGAAAACAAACCAGAAAACTGAAGAAGGTTGACTACAGACCGCTTATTAAATGTTATTAAATCATTAGTGCTGATTTTGTTCAGTGTGCTAATATCTTTGTGGCATGTAAGGAAACATCCTTTTATTATTTTGATGCATTCTGAAGTATTTGCGGGGTGAAATGACATGCTTTTTGGCATTAGCTTTGAAATTTAGGAATGAAGGAGGGACCATGTACTCCGTACTTGTATGTGTGTTTGGAAATTGACTAATAAAATGTCAAAAAGAGAGAAAGAGAGGATTGGTAAGAAAAATATAGGCAACTGCTTGGAAGAGTTGGGCTTTAAAGGATCCTGGCTACAGACAGCTATGGGGTCAAGAGGGGTTTGTTTGTTTGTTTGTAAAGATGGAGAATAACAGCATGTGCGTTAACTGATGGGAACTTTTGAACAATGCAGTAGAGAGAGGGGAGAATTGCTGCAGGAATGTCCTTGAGCAGGAGTGACAGGAGAGCTGCGTTTCCAGAGCCCAGCCAGAGGAGTTGGCACCAGGCAGGTGTGAGGAAAGTTCATCCACCATATCAGAAAGGAAAACCACAAACATGGGCGCAGATGCAAGCAAGTAGACAGATGTGACAGAGGATGCTTGCAGATGTTCTCTTCTGGTTACTCTATTT